GTAGGGACTTTAAGCTGATGTGTCGGAAATACGCCAGCTCCCTTCACTGTGGCCGGAGTTGATGACACTGAGAATGAGATGGTGATTTATGAATTCGTCCATAACTCTTGTCAAGTTGTAGACAACAACTTCAGCCAGGTGAGTGAATTAAATGGTTAATTTAGGTAAAGTACACATATTTTGGATGAGATGGTGTTATATGGCTGCACTGTGGCAACAACCTAGGCAAGTATTTTGCCCCTCTGCTAATTCTTGGTCAGATGTCAGAAAGCTGAACAATGGAGGCTGTGCCAGGACACATCGGCACAGGAAATGAGAACACAGAACACCTCTCGACATCTGTAGCCCAACATAATCTGGAAGGGCACACAATGAAAAATGGAGTCTCCTTCCGAAGACTAATTTTAAATAGGTATTTTTCACAGCTCTGAACAGAAAACAAAACTGTATTTTAAAATATGGTGCACAAAGAAAAACATTCTGTGAAGGAGAGACGTTTTATTTTTTAACTGTAACCATTTTTTTCCACAATTGTTTAAATTTTGTTAAATAAAATTTTTGGTCTCTGCTTCCCCTTGCAAATTAAATTGAGGCATAGCAGTATGAGGTGGAAAGTGTGGCAGCTGTCTATCAGTCAACAAAATTTTAAAACTGACTTAAACAGACATTATGCTGTCTTCTGAATGTTACCTTTTTCCTTAAAAAGTCAAAACTTTATTGTGTGTACCTAATGAAAACTATAGAAATTTTACTTGCCAGTTTCAAAAAGCCTGATTCCCCTTTTATAGGCACTTACAATGCCATCATGTAATTAACTATAGTGTTACTACCAAATAATAAACAAACATTAAAGAGCCCTCGCAAGTAAAAAAATAAATTTATTCTTAGTGTTTATAAGAAGGTGCGCCTCTCTACTGAAAGAATTACACGAGTATTCCTGAAAGCCTGTCACTCAAGTATGCTTAATTTCACAGCTGACAAAGAAGTAATCGCAGCATGACTAACCTCCAGAACCACGCGTCAAAGCCGCATTCCATCGAAGTGTGGTTCACAAAGTACTAGGAGTGCCCAATATCCTTTCAGGAAGCACACAAATTCAAATCCATTTCAAGTCTTACCACCACCAGAACTCAGTGGTAATACTATAATCTAAGCGGGCTTTTCACTCCATCAACATTTGTGGATGGTGCAAAAGCAACAGAGAGCAAAAATCCTGGCGTTTTGGCAGATATAAAGGCACTTGCATTCCATTTTTACTAGAAATCATTGTATTCTTCACATACATACAATAGTACTTTAAGTTTTCCATTATGAACACCTTAAATTAGTAAAAATTATTGATTTTTATCACATTGCTATCCTTGTGCGTCTTGATATCCTATGCAATAAAACACAGGGTATGTAGATAAAGCATTTCTCTGTTGCATTCTGAAGTAAGGTGGTTATTACAAGAAAAACAATTCCTGTGACTGGGTTGCAAGTTAAAGGAGACACATTTTACTTGAGATAGCACTAGACAAACTATGATTATTGACTTGTATGTTTGGCAGACAAATTCTGATAAGACAATGGTTGGTATTAAGATGTGATTTTTAATTTTGTAAAATAAAATACATTAAAATTTCAAATATATGTGTAACTCAAATCAGTATTTTTCTCATCTTGGGTACAAGACATTACAAAATCATTTCTGGGTAAAAGATCTATTCAAAGTATACCAATGGACTATAATGTAAAAGAGCATTTTTAAGAAACTACTGTTTGTCAAATTTTACTATAGTATCAAACAAGAACATCCACAACTACCTGAAAAGGTGAAAATATAGTTGGTCTCCAGTGTGTGAAGCCAGATTTTTTCATCACTTTAACCAAGAGCATTTTGCAACAGGTGGAATGCAGAAGCCAGTATGGGAAGCCACCCATTTTCCATAAAGCCAAACATGTAACAAATTTACAAAACAGTAAAACAATATCACT